AGAGAGAGAGAGAGAGAGAGAGAGAGAGAGAGAGAGAGAGAGAGAGTGCCTATCAGTGTGGAAGAAGAAAACTAAAATAAAAATTCACAATCAGATAAAATTTAGAATTACACTTTCTTCCATACTCTTGAGAGCTTATGATGAAGTTTCTACGATTTTTCTTTGTACCATTTGATATTAGATATTTTAAAATGTATCAAATAGTGAGCATTATCTTTTAAACAAGGCCCTGAGACATGAATCAGCAAAGACAGGAGCCAGAAACTAATCAGAAATATTATACACCTCAGAATCTTTTATGGGTTCATTTCGGAGATTGTTGTTGTTGTTTGTTTTATAAGATTTTCTCCATTTATGTGAGTGTGTGTGTGTCTGTGCATTTATGTGCACATGTGTGCAGAGGCCAGTGGAGGCTTGAAGAGGATATCTGATTCCTTGAAGATGAGATGACAGATGGTAGTGGATGCTGAGCACCAGCCCCAGCTCATTAGCATGAACAATAAGTGCCCTTGACCCTGAACCATCTCTATAGCCCCCAAAGTTACCTTTTATACTGAAGAAACAAACATGTGTATGAAAAGTGAATCTGAAATAAGAGAAATGTAAACTGTAAAGAGCTCTATTTATTTATTTGTCTATCTATCTGTCTATATATGGTTTTTCAAGACAGGGTTTCTTTATATGTAGTTTTAGGGGTCCTCTACAGGTCAGGCTGGCTCAAACTCACAGAGTTCCCTCTGCTTTTGCCTCACAAGTGCTGGGATTAAAGGTGTATGCCACCACCACCTGGCTAGTTCCTCAATTATAACTTCAAAATATTTTTCGTTATTCCCACGTTACTTCCAAGAGAAAAAAAAATATATATATCAGGGAAGTCCTTGTTTTTCACCAAAGTTGAAAATGAAGTTCAAATAGTTTATGAAATTAAAACAAAAAGCACTGTAGACAGCTGATTAGAATTCAAACCCAGAGGGATTTTACTGTTCTTTGAAAAACTGCAATTAGGGAGTGAAATACTGCTTCAAATAAAATACTGTCTTAAGTGATATTTTCAGATGCATGGACAGGACTTGTCTCTCTTTCCTTCCTCTCGATCCCTACGTCTGTTGTCTACATCTCAAGACAGCAGACCTTTCAGCTCCCTTTCGTTATCTCACGAATTTCTAAGTTTAGTTACTTTTGAGTTCATGTAAAAGAAGGGAGGGGCTTGCTGATCCTTCATGTACATCTTTAAGTTGAAATTTTCATACATTACACAAATAGAAATAACGATGGTATCATTTACTGTATTTGATTATTGATATATTATGTATCAAAAGAAAATAGGATGTATTCATCATTCTGTAAACATAACTCTCAGAGTAAATTTTGATTATTGATAATGTAGCTATTCCTAAGTCTTGGTCACATGCTTAAAGTAAACTACCAACCACCAAAGTTTACTCCATTGTTAAAGCTACAGAATTTCTTAAAGTTTTGAAAAGTAATATTTAGCCTTGGTTATACATAATGACATGTCTTATCATACAGGCTATTTTGATAACAAAATGAATATGTTCTAAGATAATTATTGATAATGAATATTCAACTACATACATTCTCTATTGTTACACATATGCCATTCATTTAAAAAAAAAGTCTCTGATGAATCTCTAGTAGGGCTTGGGGCTCATATTCTTTTTTTGCTATTTTCTTTTTTTATGATCATCTCATTTATTCTTTTTTTATTTTTACATTATAAAAATATCATCATCATTTATTACAATTTATTAAATTTGTATTCAGGATGTCTCCCCCTCCCTCATCTTTTCCCAATACCACCCTCCCTCCCTCTTCTCTTCCTATGCCCCTCCTGTAGTCCACTGATAGGGAGGTGCTCCTCCCCTTCTAGTTGACCCTAGCCAGTGTGGTGGTGCACGCAGGTAGGATTTGCTCAAAGAGGCAGAAGTTCACGAGTTCAAGGCCAGCCTGGGCTTATATTCTTATTTGGACATTCACAACAGAAAGGAATGCTCCGGGGTATAATGTTTGGCGTGGAGAGTATTTTGAACTAAAGTAAACCAAAAGGGCAACAGTACTTTCTGAACCTCTCTCACCCTGATTTCCTTTCATTTGCTTCAAGGCAAGCCATAGAAACTAGAAGTCCTCTTTCCCAAAACAAGTAGTGGTAGTCTGACCCTCATCTACCTTTCTGTGAAGAAGAATTCTCTAACCCCTCTCAACAGTGGATCACAAAGCCTTCCTTCCAGAGGGCCCTGCCTGGGGAAGAAGAAATGCTGCTCACAGACATAGAGAAGACGGATCAGACAGAGTCTGCTTACACAGACCACCATCTTGTCTCCAGCTACCTTTCTACAGTACATAGCTGTGGGACAAGAGCTGAGAATGGGCGAGGTCATTGCATAGGTTTTAAGTGAAGGAGCTTCTTACTCTTCCCTTAGTGCCAAGTCACAAACTTTGTGACACTTCAATATAAGAGATAGTCTCAAGGGGATGTCAGCAAGGTGTATGGCCAGATTTCCTAGTTCTTGTTAAACTAGGACCTTAAAATTGTTTCCTGAGAGTCTACCCTCATCAACGACCACTGGGAATATGGCCAGACTACACTGACTGGCAGCACCAGTTGTGATGAAAATCGGAGGCCACTTCTATACTTTGGCTACAGCCCCCTAAAGAAAGCCATTGGGGCATTTACCCTTGCTCCTTCATTCTTTTTTTTTTTAATGTGCTTTTTTATTGTTTATTATTATTAGTTACATTTTATTAACTCTGTATCCCAGCTGTATCCTGCTCCCTTATTCCCTCCCAATCCCACCCTCCCTCCCTCAGCTCCTCCCTGCCCCTTTCCAAGTCCACGGATTGGGGAGGACCTCCTCCCCTTTCGTCTGGCCCTGTTTTATCAGGTATCTTCAAGGCTGGCTGCAAAGTCCTCCTCTGTGGCCTAGCAGGACTGTTCCTCCCTTGGGGGGTGGGGAGGTCAAAGAGCCTGCCATTGAGTTCGTGTCAAAGATAGTCCCTGTTCCCCTTACTATGGGAAACCAATTGGTTATTGAGCTACCATGAGCTTCGTCCGAGTAAAGGTTCTAGGTTATAGCCATACATGGTCCTTGGTTGGAGAAACAGTTTCAGAAAAAACCCCTGTGCCCACATATATTTGGTCCTTGTGTCCTTCATTCTTAATTGTTTTACTTGATTATAATAGAAAATCCTGCAATAAAATACTCTGAGTTCATTTTCAAATGAAATTCTATTATTTGAACCAATGATCAAGTAAGAGGATTATTGTTTATTACTTGGTTTTGAAAACTTCAGTGTCTTTCTGAATTATGGAGTACTTCAAATAATTAGCAGTGGTGTTCATGAACATGTTAGCTAAATAGCCCAGAAATGGGCCTGTGTTGTCATGTCAACTAACTTCTATTTCTTTATTACAGCCATTGACAGCAAAAAGATGAGACATCTTCTCAATAGTCGTAAGTTGCAAAATCCTCAATTAATTGTTTATTTCGTAGTAAAGAGAATGGATCATCATATATAAGCTATTACTTTTTATACTTTTTTAATACTTTCTTTTTATACTTTCATAAATCAAATACTTAATCTTTTAATTTTTAATACTTAACATATTAGGTGTATATCAGTATGATTCTATTATTTTTAGTACATATTTATTACATAGTATTCTAGATGTCATATTAATATTCTTAAAGTATACTCTTATATAATTCAAGACACTAAGTTGAAGATTTTTTGTTACTTTTTAGGTTTTTAGTTCTTTTTTTTTTTTTGTCTGTTTTAAGATTTTCACACCTAAATATATTCTGAGTTTTGAAGGCAAATATATGGCTATTATTGATGTTGTAGGAATGCTTACAAAGGCTTTTTAAAGGTTGGTTTGACATTTGATCAATTGAAGATTTGATATCAGGGAATACAAATTTCTCTAAACTATTCACATATTTTAGAAAATAAAATGTTATTATTTAAATTAACAAAATACGTCAAAGATAATAAATTGATTCTTCTGGTCACATAAAGGGCAAATCATTACATATATTCAGAGTTACAATACTTTCTCTCAAGAGTAAAGTACTATTGGCTTAGCTGTGGAATCTCCTAATGTTATATCCCACTCTGTCACTCACCAGGTTGGTGATATACACAATTTGTAAGCTTCTCCAATGTTGTTGTTTTTTTTTTTAACTCTAAAAATCTATCTGCTCTATATCTAATATAAAGCATTTAAAAGAATATTTAGACTTGTTGGTATTCAATAATAAGCTATATATTGATAAAAATACATGGGAAAATCACTCTAGAATGGTCAACAGGAGAACAAAAATCCTTTTCTCTACTTTAATTATATGCTAATTTGGGCCAGTTACCACAAAGATATATATATATTTTTTTTATTAATTACACTTTATTCATTTTGTATCCCCCCATAAGCCCCTCCCTCCTCCCCTGCCGATCCCACCCTCCCTCCCCTTTCTGCATGCATGCCACTCCCCAAGTCCACTGATAGGGGAGGTTCTCCTCTTCTTTCTGATCTTAGTCTATCAGTTCTCATCAAAAGTGGCTGCATTGTCCTCTACTGTGGCCTGGTAAGGCTGCTCCCCCCTCAGGGGGAAGTGATCAACGAGCAGGCCAATCAGATTATGTCAGAGGCAGTCCCTCTTCCCATTACTATGGAACCCACTTGGACACTGAACTGCCATGGGCTACACCTGTGCAGGGGTTCCAGGTCATCTCCACGAATAGTCCTTGGTTGGAGTATGAGTCCCTGGGAAGTTCCCTGTGTTCAAATTATCTTGTTCTGTTGCTCTGCTTGTGGAGTTCCTGTTCCCTCCAGCTCTTACTATTTCCCACTTCTTACATAAAATTCCATTCACTCTGCCCATCAGTTGGCCATCAGGCTCAGCATCTGCTTTGACACTCTATACTGCAGAAGCTTTCAGAGGCCCTCTGTGGCAGGTTTCAAGGTTGTTTCCTGTTTTCTTCTGGCTTTCAGAGGCCCTCTGTAGCGGGTTCCAAGGTTGTTTCCTATTTTCGTTTTCTTCTGATGTCCATCCTCTTTGCCTTTCAGGATGGGGATTGAACATTTTAGTTAGGGTCCTCTCTTTTGCTTAGTTTGTTTAGATGTACAGATTTTAGTGGGTTTATTCTATCTTGTATGTTTATATGAGTGAGTATATACTGTGAGTGTCTTTTTGCTTCTGGGTCAACTCACTCAGGATGATCCTTTCCAGGTCCCACCATTTACCTGCAAATTTCATGATTTCCTTATTTTTCATTGCTGAATAATACTCCATTGTATAGATGTACCACAGTTTCTGCATCCATTCTTCAGTTGAGGGGCATCTGGGTTGTTTCCAGCTTCTGGCTATTACAAAGATATTTTATATCAGGAACTCAACTGTTTTTCTCACCCTAACTATACCTCAATAAGTAGGAGACATACCACATTAGTCTATTTGTTTCTTAGCGTAAACATTCCAACAGACTTGCAGAATTTAAGACTACCAGAATTTGCAGTAGTTTCTGATCTGTGAACTTGCCCCCATCCCATCTCTCTCCTTCAAAGATGCTAAATTACGACACCCACATTTGACACAAAAGCCCAAGGCTGCCTTCCCTTGGCAGAACACGTGGTCATTCTAGCTGACTGCACTTCCCAGCTTCCAAATCTAACATACCCAACTAAATTTGTTTCCATTTTTGCTTGTATTTTAAGTTCATTTATTATTTTTTTGGCTGATATTATCCATTTATATTGTTTATGAAAGACTTATTGTGTAACTCAAGCTGCTAAACTCAGACTAATAAAATTAATATACAGGTATCTCAAATACTTGGATTACATATATATGTAATATATAATATATATGTATGTATACTATATAATACATGTATATATGTATGTTTAAAATATATATTATATATGCATATATATAAAAAAGACTGATAAAACTGGGTTAAAGACCTCCCTTATCAGTGGACTTGGGGAGGGGCATGAGTGCAGAAGGGAGAGAAAGGGGGGATTGGGAGGGGAGGGAGGAGTGAGCTAAAGGGGGGATACAAAGTGAATAAAGTGTAATTAATAAAGAATTTTAAAAAATGAAATAAAAATAAAAAAGAAAAGGACCTTGAATATTTACAAACATTAAAGGCATGAAAAATAAAAAGTAAAAAAAGAGTTGCTGAGGCAAAGAATTTTGTAAGTAACTTCTCTAAACACATATCGTGATACTTTCCCTCTCTCGTCATAAGAACGAACTACTATGTGTTTCTTTGTCAGGATGTGGGATAAGAATGTCGTCTTCAAACATGCCGTTGCCAGCATCCTCCACTACTGAACGGATTGTCCAAGGAAGAGAAACAGCTCTGGAAGGGGAGTGGCCATGGCAGGCTAGCCTGCAGCTGGTAGGGGCAGGCCATCAGTGCGGAGCCACACTTATCAGCAACACGTGGCTGCTCACAGCAGCGCACTGCTTCTGGAAGTAAGCTCACTGGGCTGGGGGAGCATCTGAGAAGAGCTCAGTCTCGTCCTTTGCCCTGCCCCTCCTGTGCCCTCGACACAGCGCTTGATTTCTGCCATTGTGATTCTAGTGTGATCTTTCCTACAATACTATGTTATTCTCCATGTAGACTGCTATGTTTGTCTTATACATACTCAAGGAGAAAAGTTGGCTGGCCACCTCTGGTCTGTTCCCCCACCAATTAATCTCTCTGACTTCCCACAGTCGATATCCGGTATTCTTTGCTTATAAAGAGAGCTCAGAAATCTGCTTTGAAGCACGCCCTGGGCATGCATGACTCAGAATGTGTAGAGAGGGTAGCAGAGAGCTACCTGGTCACTCTGCCCTTGTAGCATGAATAAATGTTCCTTGCATGCACGGTGACTCTGTCTCGTGATCTCCTAAAGCAGATTTATCCTTCAAGGTCCTTCTAGGAGGCTTTAAAAAATTATTCTCTTAAGGGCAGCAACAGAATGATTCTAAGACATTTAGCCAGTGTCTATACAGACAAGGTATAATGAGAATGACCTAATGAATTTAAAGTTATCTGTTACCCTTTCAGTGGAGATTCATTATTGCCTATCTATGAACCCCAAAGTAACTAGTATCTACCATGTCGTCATGACAAACACAAATTCCACTTGCTTGTTAAGATTTTCTGACACACTCCTATGCTTATAGTTTCCCGATATTTGTATTACTGTTTTTTGTGAGAGTGTTAATTCACTTAAATTTATAATTGACTACTCTTTACACAGAAAGTAAAAATTACAACCAGAATTCCATCTTCATATTAGTAATTAATATAAATACTTGCTTTAATGAGTTTAGTGCAATTTCTGGGGATGATCTACATAGAAACTGAACATTTAAGCTGCTAAGTAGAGATTACTATTGATAATAACATTTTTCATAGTGCGATGAGGGTGGGACTATATTCAAAAGGTAATAGAATGGACAAATGCAACAATTTGAAAAACTACTTTTAAGGAGTGTGTAAATGAGAAATGGCAAAGAAATCTGATAGTTAATGAGACTTATGATTCCAAAAGATTTTTTTTAAATATGGCAAATATAGTATGTTTGATTCTAATAAAAGTAATCCAAAGTGCTGGGTAAGGTGATGATACTGAAGAAAAGGGATATTTTTGAGTGCCATAATTAAATATAATTGTATACATGAAATGCTGCTTAGAAAGGGAATAAAAGGATATTTTGAAGATGATGTAAAAGTTATCCAAATAGCCTTCATACTTTAATAAATTATTTTCCTATAGAAATAGTATATTTTAAAAATGGTGTTTAAGTCCAGTCCTAGCACTTCATGTCCATGACAGTTTTCTGCAGTCTTTAAGAAACAATGTGAGTTAGGAAGTTTTTGATAAACATGTAGGCAGACAAGAGGTTGCCCGAGCATCTCTCAGTGTCCTTATTCACAAAGCAGCGTTGTTTGGGTCTGTTGTGTGTTTTTGACAGTGAACAGAGGGATGGACTTTGTATTTTGTTGTCTCAAATTGTTTGTGTTCTCCTTAACTCATAGAGTCATGTTACTCATTACTTATCCTAAAATTGTAGCAGTCAGTGCCTAGGTATCAAATGAAGGTGTGTCTATATTGAACAAAACTTCCATAAATAAATAAAGTAATTAATTAATTGGTTAATTAATTAAACATATGAGAAGGAACTCTCTTCCTGCTCCGGGGTGTGTCTGGTCATCTTTGGGCAGTCTAGCACACTTTGGAAACTGATAGACTTTCATTACTCTTAAAAGTTGATGATTTAGGGAAGGAAGAGATGATATAACTATATTATAATCTCAAAATGTAAAATAAAAAGAAAATACTTAAAAAAAAATAAAAGAATGAAGGAGCCCTGACTTCAGAGCAAGTAAAATAAAATGTGATGTTCATGGGCGGGAGAGTTGGCTCTGTTGTTCTCTCTTGAAGAAGACCCGAGTTCCATTCCCAGCACACCTATTGAGTGTTGAACAGCTGCCTGAAATCCCAGCTCCTGCGGATCAGATAGCTGCCTCTTACCTCCACTGACACCTGTATTCACAAACACACAGCCACACAGAGCAAATTAAAAAAAAATGTTCTTAAAAAGAAAAAAAAGTTTTGTGATTCCTTTATAAATGAGGAAATTCCTCTTTTGAACTCTCCCCTGTGATTTTCTAACTAATTTCCTGTCACCCAGACAATTTGTGGTTTCTGTATATGTCTAATCATTCATGATGTGAATAATTCTAAAGGGATTGAACGGGGCTTTAGAGAAGAGCTACGGCAGTCAAGAGACAGTTGGGCCGGGTGGAACTCAGGGACCTGACCCTGGGAAAGGAAAGCAGCTGCATGGAGGAAGAGTTAGTAAGAGGGAGGCTGAGCACAGTGCAGCAAAGAGCTGTGGGAGACTGGCTTCCAGTAAGGGCAGCTTAGCCCTTGAATATCAGGAAGGGGTGTGGGCCTGGGTGGAGAAACAACTCGGTGCTTATGAGGAATTGCACGGTAGACACGTCCCACTTAGCCTCCAAGACCACAGCAAACAAGAGCTAACAAGCAAGTCGTCAAATCAGGAAGGGTGCTCTGATGCAGAGATACTGATTATCTAAAAGAGAGCAAATTTTTGAACAGTTCATTGAAATAAATTAACAATAATCCAAAGAATTCCTAACAAGGCACGGATTTTAATTTCGGAGATAGATAATGCTAATTGATTAATAAGTTATGTGCAATTATTTGGATTAGCCACAGAAAACCTCTTTCTCACGGAGCAGTTGATCTACTAATCAATTATATCTATCACCGTAGGACTTTTTCAAAAGCTTAATCCTGAAAATTGGGCAAAAAATATGATTTTAACCTCTCTCCTCCTCCTCCTTCCCTCTTCCTCCTCTTTTTTTCCCTTCTTTTCTTTCTTTTTTAGAAAGCAATGTGAACCATCACAAATCTTATCCTTTAATTTTCCACAGAAATAGAGACCCAAGTAAATGGATTGCTACCTTTGGTACAACTATAAAACCACCTGCAGTGAAACGAAGTGTCGGGAGGATTATCATCCACGAAGATTACCACAGAGAGAGCAATGAAAACGACATTGCCCTGGCGCAGCTCACTACCCGAGTAGAGTTTTCAAACGTGGTGCAGAGAGTCTGCCTCCCGGATTCGTCCATGAAACTGCCACCGAAAACAAGCGTTTTTGTCACAGGATTTGGGTCTATTGTAGATGATGGTGGGTAGAATTCTCTTATGTGAAATTTTCTCACATATTCCGCATGTAAATTCGGCTTTGTAAGAGATTTTTATAAATTTCATTTTTTCCCCCACGTTCACTACTACCTCAAGTTTACTCACCCGTAGCTTCACCCAAACCCCCAACGTCCCATCTGTACTCACCCCATGCAGCATGCTCCATTGCTAACCCTTATCACTGTTCTGCCGTCAGACGGCTGGTACAAGTTGGTCATCCATCGTATTTCCTTACATAACACACTACAAAGGACAGCAGGGAAAATGCTTCTCTGTGTTGTGTTCTGCTTCCTACTTTATAGTATATGGAAAAAGACACTGAGTTTATTTGCAGAAAAATGCAGAATGTGTCCTCATGAAAAATCTTGTATTCATATTGAAGGATGCTTTGGAGGAATCACTGATATGATATAATTCCGATGCCTGCATGTTTGATTTCTTTCATGCAGACATTTAGGATAGAGCAAATACAATTCAGAAAAAAAACCCCAATATTCATAAAATGCTTTGTACTTTGTATCCTGGGAATAGTACAGTTTACCCCTCATCTGTGTCTGAGGCACAAATCATATTTGAAAGGCACATCATTTCTTTGTTTGTTTATCCATGTCTATGTAATAGGTCCTACACAAAATAAGCTGCGGCAAGCCAGGGTGGAAACTATAGGCACTGATGTCTGTAACAGAAAGGAGGTGTATGATGGTCTGATAACTCCGGGGATGTTGTGCGCTGGATTCATGGAAGGAAAAGTAGATGCATGTAAGGTGAGTTGGAAGCCAAGCCTTCACAAGGAAATTTCCACTAGCTGTTTCTGAGTTTAGCATATGTGGAAAAGACATATGTACTGAATGTTTAATGTGCACAAACCCAAGGTAAAGCACCTTTCATACAGCGTTTTATTCAATGTGGTAAGATAGTTGCACCACTATAACTGCATCCATTTTATGTACTAGGAGACAAAATCAGCTGTACCCTCTTTGGTCCACACGTTACTTTGTGCTTCTTTATTCTTTTTTCTTTCTTTTTAAGTGGGGGATGGGAGAGGAAGATTGAGACAGAGTCTCATATAGTCGTCCTGGTCAGTCTTATGTCTCTGAGGATGGCCTGATCCTCTTTTCTCCACTACCTAAGTGCTGGGTATACTATAAGGGTGTACTACCATGCTTGACTTCCGTTGTTACTTTCTTAATGTCAAGCCCCAAAGATGGATAACTGCTCAGAATGATCCATTTTCTTGGAACCCCTTGACTCACAACTAGAAGGCAGGTTTTTCTTGCTAGGCATTAAGGTTTTTGTTAATGCATATCTCTTAAAAGAACATTGCCATCCTTTGTAGCAAACACCATTATGTGTGTGGGCATGCATGTGTGTGAGTGTGTGTGTGTGTGTGTGTGTGTGTGTGAGCTTATAAAATAATATATTATAAAGTAATGTATTTTCCTGTGCATTTTCAAACATCTTCAGTATTATTTCTCCCTCTGTATTACTCTCCTTTCCCTTTCTCCAATTAAGTCCCTCCTCCCCATTTCTGCATTTCCTCCTTCATGACACCTGTGCTCTACCGGACTCTTCTGGGTAAATCTTCCTCACCCCCACTCCCACCCCACCTCCATCCCCACCCCCACTCTCCATGATCCCTGTGTATTTTCTGGTTTCTGTTGTTACTTTAGGTTATATATTCAGATCTAAAGATTCATAGCTATGATCCACAAACAAGAGAAAGTATGTGTCTTTTATTCTTCTGGTTTAATTCACTCAGTATATTTTTCCAGTTCCATCCATTTATCAACAAATTTCATGTCTTTGTGTTAATTTATTGCTTAGTAGAATTCTGTTGCACCACATTTCTATTATCTGTCAGTCAATAGATGGGCACCTAGTTTGCTTCCATGTTCTAGCTATTGCAAACAGGGTGATGAAAATTTTTCTTGTTTTTTTTTTAGTATATATTTTATGTATTTCTACTCTGTACTTTATTTTCTTCTGTTTGCCATCCTTTACCTTAGTTTTTTTTTTTCATTTTCTACCTTTTCAAGGAATAATGTAATATTTAATTGAGATCCTTATTCTTTTCTGATCTATCCATTCAATGTTGTAAGTTTCCCTATGTATCCATTCTCCCTGCACCTCTTAAGTTTGGGGGATACTGTTTCAATTTTTGTTTGTTTCAGATTATTTTCTTAATTTCTTTTTGTACTTCTCTTGTTTCTCACTGGTTGTCTAGAGGCGCAATCTTTCACGTTTGTGAATTTGTACAGCTTTTTCCATGTATTGACTTGTAGTTTTAAGCCACTCTGGTGCAGGGGAGGGCTCTGTAATTCACCTCTTCTCTATGGCCCACCCTCCTTCTTCACTCAAGTCCCTGTTTTCATTGGCCTTTGGGAGAAAGTTCACATTAGCTCTGATTGAGTCTCTCACCTATAGTTCACCTTTACCTTGCAACTTGTTTTTGTTTTATTATTGCTGTTGAACATTGTTGTTTTATTTTCATTGGAGAAATCTTTTGACCTGGCTGCTCCAGCTAGACCCCTACTTTGTGGCTTGGCTATATAATATTTGGAAAGTATGTCTATGCCTACTGACTCTGTTCCTCACTTCCTTCTAATGCTTTCAACCATCAGTATTGGGTTTTCTGTATTATTTTCTCCAGAGAGTTCTTCCTAATGACTCACCAGTGACCTCAGTGTTAAATTCTAGCACTCATCTTTGACTGTTCTTTTTTTTTTAACCTGTTAACAGCACTTGCTGTTCTTGAAACGCTGTTTTCTCTTGATTATTATCTCCAGCCTATTTCCTCTTCATACCCCGTTTTAAGCAGCCGGTTGAATGTGACAAATATTTTGTGATAACTTCTCTCTCTTTCACTTCTATATTGTCCTCCCAACTCTCTTTTCCTCTTTTCTTTCACTGCATAGTGCTAGCAATTTTGTTTTTACTTTTGTACTCTTTTAGTGCATTTGCCAGATAGTCAGCATTATTAATAGAACGCTATTGTCGTTATGTCAAATGCATCATTAAAATGTTTTAGTGACTTTTTTTTCTTAAAAATACAGAGCAAAGTTTTCTAAATGAGGTCCACGATGTTTCATAACTCCTGGACACATTCACCAGCCTCATTGCATGTCACTGACCTCCTGCCCCTGCTGTTGTTTTCACATCTCCAGTTTCATCTTTTTACCCCTTTTAAAAAATTAATTAATTCAATTTACATCTCGGTCACAGGTCCCTCCCTCCTCTCCTTTCAGTATTCCTTCCTGCATCCCCTCTCCCTATTCCTCAGAACAGGGGAGCCACTCTGTCCAGACACCCCAGTTTATGTAGTCACATGAGGACTGAGTTCATCTTCCTCCCCTGTGGTCTTGTAGAGAAGTTCCACCGGAGGAGGGGGGAGGTGATAAAAAAGCAGGCAACATAGTTTGTGTAGGAGATACCTCCCACTCCCCTAACTAGGAGGCCAACATGAAGCCTAATTTGCCCATCAGGCTTATCTTCTTGGGGTCTGTGCATTGTAGTTTGTCTATCCTCTACTGGATGACTGCAATCCACTTATAAGTCAGTATATATCATGTGTGTCTTTCTGGGTCTGTGTTACCTCATTCCAGTTTCATCTTTTTGAACCTTGTCTATGGCAGATTCCTTCATACTATAGAGCATTTGCAAAAATATTCCCTCTGTCTAGGGCACATTACATTCCTGCTTTCTGTTGCACAATCAGCCGCTCTACTTTCTCATATCAACATAAATTCTGTTTCCCAGAGATGTCCTAGGAAGCTGCGTCCTGAACAATCAGGACGCATATTGCATGCTTCTCTGTCAGTTACCATAGTTATTATTTGTCTTTGCTATTAGCCTATTCAATATATACATCAAGCTCTGTTCAGGTAAGAAAATTTCATTTTGGGGGTCACCATTATATCTCCAATAATTATCAAAATATATGGAGCATTTAATAAGAACTAAACAAATAGTTGGTAAGAGTATATGGGGAGGGTAGAAACATGAATTGGTGGTTAGGAATACCTGAGCTTTTCCTAGAAAATCTGAGTTCAGATCCTAGTGCCCATCTCAGGTGGCCTACCATCAGTGGCTTAAGCTCCAGGGAATCCAGTGCCCTCACCTGGACTCTACAGGCACTTTCACGCATGTGTCATTCACACACACACACACACACACACACACACACACACACACACACAATTTTGTAAGATGAGCAAATGGAAGAATAGAGATATAGAAGCAAAAGGAGTTCAAATGTTTTACTCAACCTAACCCATAACTGGGAGAACTGGGCCTGAACCTCGGGCATCTGAGAACATGTTTTCACCTTCTACAAGTGCATGTGTCTGTTTAATCTCCCTCATTACATGAAAGATAGAAAGGAGAAACACAGCCAAGCCAATAGTATTCAGAAGTGATCTTTGAAATTTTCCCTTTACTGCTATAAATAATAGTCTCACATTTAACATTTTATGTGCACAAGCTGTTCTCAGATCAGAACATATGGGCAGAACATGTCTAACCAAACAAATAAAAAACACCATAATGATAGGCCAGAAATTATGTAAGCATTGCATATGAACGACTATTGGCCTTTCTACTAAAAATGAAAATGTGCTTTGGGGTTTAGAACAAAGTTTACCTCAATTGAAAGACACAAATGTTCTACTCACAGTCTGTTTCCAGGGTCCATGTAACAAATTCTTTTTTATTTTTCTTTTTTGGGGGACAGGGTCTGTGGAAGAGAAATGATTACTATGATCTTGTTTCTATTCCAGGGTGATTCTGGTGGACCTCTGGTTTATGACAATCGGGACATCTGGTACATTGTAGGCATAGTAAGCTGGGGACAGTCATGTGCTCTCCCCAACAAGCCTGGAGTCTACACACGAGTGACTAAGTATCGAGACTGGATAACCTCCAAGACTGGCATCTAAAGAGGACTGTGGTGAGCTATAGCCACAGCCCAGGGGCAGGATGCCTGCAGACTGTATACTGTTAGAGTCGTGGGGGTTAAATGCGTGCTTCTGTCAGATGTCAAGGAACGCTTCAGACCCAGACAAACGTAATATCACGAGGTGGCTTTTGTGTACATAAACGCTCTGCCAAGAAGGAAAAAAACATGACAATGACAGGTAGCACTGGTACCTCACTCATAAGAGCAACTCCTTAATGTGACAAACATAAATGGCTTCCCTCAGGATATAAAGAACTGCCAGGCTGCTACAACCTTACCTCATATGATGTATAGAGCTCCAGGACTCATCTTGCAAATCAGTTATCATCTTCCCGAGAGATTCCAGACACCAGCGTTCTAGAACTCATGACTGGACATTCAACAGTTAGAATGAAGGAGCGTGAAACCTGCAGTAAAACTTGAACTCTAACCTAGGTTTGCCTCTGACAGAGCAGAGCGCTGTTCTCAACCACAGGAATTGTCATTATTTAAATGCACATGAACTTGCCATAACACCATGTAATGCTCTCAAGCACTAGCTTCAGGAAGCTTATTGCATTAAGAAGCATTTCTGGCTCTCTATTTAGCAGTATCTTGCCATCCACATATCAATCATGTTTAGCTCAGAAAAGACAAAGATAAAAGTCAATATAAGTGTTTTTCACTAGTATAAGAAGGATAACAGGAAGCAGCAGAAAATGGAATTGACTTAAAAATGATTAGTAGCAGGACACTCTAACCTTTTGATGGAGGGTGTCATACAAATATTTATTTAGAAATACTAACATGAGCATATGATAACCAATGCTTTTGTAAATCATCAGCTCATTGACAAGTTGTATGTCATCAAAGTGTCTCGTGGGGAGTGCTTTATGCAAAACGCTTAGGACAGTGCTTGTTATATACTGAGCACTAAATAATAGTGAGTGAATTCTCCAGCAAAGGAGCTTAATTACAGTCCAGAGCCTAGTGATGAACATAGTGTTAGTGAGTGCAAATTGTCTGAGCTGGGCCAGTGGACCATAAACTTTGTCTCTGTCATATGCAAAGTGTATGCTTTATGCGAATTGCCCAATATCTCTGTTAGCTTTTTCATCTGTATAGTGCTAATAAAATGCTACCTCACTGCTGCATTTGAGGATTACATGTATTCACACAAGTAAAATATTTGCAATAGCATCTGCATACAGTAAGTTCTCAGGATGAACAAGCGAAAATCAACTTTTATGTTCTTTGGACTTTTAAAAACACGCTGTAATCTTAAATGCCCCTACTTCTCTGAAGAAACGCAAATAATTTCAAAGTACCTTAAGTTACATTGTTGAAAAACAAACTAAGTGACAGATTTTCAAAATCACTTTGATGTTTCCTGGACTAGTTTTGAACTTTCTCTGCTGTGGACAAGCAGTCACAGGTTGATGTTTGCCATGCGTGGAGCCAAGCTAGACATCTGCACTCACCTCCAGCCCTCCAGCACGAGACCTGCCTGTGCTACTCTAGCAGACAGAATCAGTGGCATAGCCATCCTTTAATAGCTAAAACTTCTGTTTGGGGGTTATTTTAGTTTACACGTGACTCCTTTTATATGTAACACAGATAAGCCAGATAAATATAACTTTCAATGCCTCAGAGTTGCTCTAACTTGCATCTCAATGAACTCCAAGCACATAGAGGTCCTGCCTGGTCACTTCTGAGCTGATGACTCATGACAGCATCAAAAAAAAAAATGCAGACTAAAAACTTAAAAGATGGGCTTGATTGATGTTGGATTTTTCTTTTAATTTAGATAAACTCCTATTTTTGGTAGATATGTGAAAGCAAATATGTCTACCAAAAAGCCTCTCATTATTTTCTTTGTAAATTCTTTAACAATGGACACATGCTTTGTGTGTAATTTTATTTATATTTTATCAGACTGTGATAACTTTTTTGTATAAGGATCCATAAAACTATGTATACTGATTTAAATATTTCCATGTTTAGTTAGATTGAATTAAATGATAATTTAACACAAACAAGAGTGATAAGCGTAAAAAGCCATATTAATTCTAAAAAAAAAAGAAAAGAGTATTTTTTATAACAATCTTTTTATGTCTTTTTTCATGTTTGGTATTTGACTTATTGACTGAATATCACAAAAGTCAAGTAATCTTACACTTCATGTTTTCCATCTGACATGTGGGTTGCTTAAACTGTCTACCTCATGGCATTACTGTGAGGGATTGGTAAGTTATAATTTGAAAACGTGGAGAACTTTTAAATCTCAAAAATACAGAGTATATTATTTTTAACGGATACCAATGTAGACGATACAGGAAAAGGCATTAAAAATGTGAAGGTTGATGTATTTGCTCTTCACAGTGTTGGGGTTTTGTTGCTTTGTATATTTGGCAAATATAAAAATGGTTAACAACACACAAAGAAATTGTCTTGCCTCCTTTGTATTGACACTATAGTAATTTTAGTATTCTTTTTTTTTTAATCAAAAGCCAGATGGGTTTAAAAGACAGAACAAATCAATTAGACATTTAGAAGATACAATAATCCCTAGAAAACAGCATCTTAGTGAAACCTAATGTTTATGGATTCCATTCCTAGGGTAGAACTATTTGTTATGTACATCCATTGATGCCATCACTTTGGAAGATCAGTTTTCTGAACAGAGATCTTTGAGGAACATAAATGTTCAGACCATGACTGTTAATAATTGGCTGACTTTGAGATAATCCAAAGAAGTATTGTACTTTGGGCACAGTGCAATATGATATAAGTAAGCATATTTAGAATTATACTCCTCATACAGCAAAGTTGAGTTCATGGCTCTCTGGCTTACAGAATAAAAAGAAGTGATTGTTTAAACACTTAAGCTTATATAACTTGATACACAGCAATAGAAAACTGGTAACTACGCTGCAATTTTTATGTTTCAGACAGTATGAGCATTTGCCTCTATATTCATTTACTAATTGTAACTAATTTGTATTCCATTTTATGATTGTGACTTAGATATTTTTCTGCTGTTGTGAAGAGACACCATGACCAAGGACACTTATAAAAGAAAGAATTTATTGGGGGTTTGCTTACATTTTTCAGATGGTTAGTGCATGGACATCATAACAGGGAGCATGGCTGCAAGCATGCAGGCAGGCATGGTGCTGGAGCAGGATCTGAGAGTTTACATGTTGAGACAGCAAAAGGGAGAGACAGAGACAAAGAGAGACAGGGAGAGCTTTTGAAACCTCATCCTGCCCCCTGCACTGCGTGCCACACCTCCTTCAAAGGGCCACACCTCCTAATCCTTCACAAATTGTTCCACCAGCTGGAGACCAAGCATTCAGATATATGAGCCCATAGAGGTCATTCTTATTCAAACAACAAAAGACTGATTTCTCCAAATGAAAGAAGGAATGGAAAATAAATAGGTTGAACACCATTTGCTGAAAAGAAAAGTTCAATGAATATGGAATGCCTTGGTGCTCACATAGGGGCTGCTTAGCACACTGAAGTGTATGACAGTCTTAACCTGAGCTTCTTGAGTAGACAGAAGTGAGCCTAGAAATCTGAAAACATACAAGACTCACTATAGACGCTTACTTGAGGATGGGAAGGTTGTTGAGATTAGGTAGGAGCTGGAGATGCCAGAGGAAAGGGTGTCCTGAGGGAAGTTCAGGATTTCAGAGTTGGTAAATGCCATGTAGACAGGCTCTAATTAGATGATGCGGACATCGAGCAGACTTCACATGAACTGTAGCAAAGAGAAAGGAAGAGAAAATTTCCAAATACAGGAAGAAGAGTAACTGGAAGAAATGACTGGGGTCAGAGAGATGAAAACCCAGCAGTATCAAAGAAAGTAGAAGGTGATATAGTGAAAAATTAGTGGATCCAGACAAAAAACATGGTCAATTGCTGAGACCCTTACAATGGCTGTCAGTTCAAAGAAAATCTCAGGATTTTTTTTTTCCCTTCTTAAGACTAGCTCTCTTTAGAAGAGATATGGAAATATTGGGCAAGATAAAATGAACACATATGCCACTGCCCTAAGAAAATCTTCTCAAGAGCATCAAATGTTTCCTGAAAACTTTGTTTCGGGTGCCTCCGAAAGAGTTGAATGGCTGAGACGGAGACCAGGCTTGTACTGACTCAGACTGAGAAGGGCTGCTTCTTGAAAGACAAACAGAAAGCTGCTCCCAGAGTCAAGGAAGTAGCTTATGTTTGGGACCTGACATAGTTTCTCAATTCGGAAGAACCAGGAAATTCATTCTTATTTCCTGTAACAAAGACTTCATCAAGTGGTTCTTTTCTAAACCTCAAACCACACTCTTGGCTAACATTCACCCGTCCCGACTGGTTAGACAAGTTTCTTTTAAATCTTTAAGTATTCTTAACGTTATCCAGCCTACACATCTGCAAGAATACCCAGGATGCTATTCGTTTGACAGGGATCACACACAGAGCAGCGTGAAGGTGGAGAAGCTGGCCTTCCCCACAGTGGCGATGCATCAGTAAGTTGGGTTTTATTTCACATATGAAGAGTTTGTTTGTTTTTCATTTATGTTCTAAATAGGAGTTGGAATTATGCTAAACTGGCAATCTAATAATTTCCCTTTATTTTTGTTGGTGGGAAGACACAGTGATATTAATACACTCTGTTTTAGCAAACCATGTTAATGACTTTTTATACTTAGGAGTTGAGGTTTTTAATGCTAGGTTGGATTACAATTTAGTGTTGGGTATGAAATGGAAAGTTTAATATGAGAATTGAAACAATAATGTGCATTTTGGGGGGAAGGCAGAGAGCACAAGAAGCACTGGTACTTTTAGGGAGTGGGATAGAATGGGGAAGGAAATGGTTCTCATCTCCACCTAAGAGTTTAAAAGATAATTAAATTATTGTGTCCTTTCTAAATGATGCACTAAGTTGATTCATGGAAAGGGAAATGTTTAAGTTGTACAGAAACCATATATCTTAGGACCCATTCTAAAGTT